CTGCCTTGAAGAGAATGGCCTTCCATTCAGCAAGGGTAAGTCAGAGCATACGGCGGGTTATTTTAGTAGGGAAATCAGATTGAAAGCCGTCAAACCAGTTGTTAGTCACTCTACAAGATAATGCGGATATCAACAGTGAGGTAAGAAATCCTACGAAAACAGCGTGGCTCAATTGGAGGTAAATTGAGTGGAGTACTGCGCGACAAGGGGATGTCCATCAAGCTGAAAGGAAAGGTGTACAGAACATTGGTAAGACCGGTGCTTCTGTAAGGAGCGGAATGTTTGGCTACACTGAAGACATACGAACTACGGCTGAACTCGACAGAAATGCGAATGCTCAGACGGATGTGTGGTGTCAGCAGAAAGGACCGCATCTGAAACAGGTTCATTAGAAGCATTCTAGAGATAACATTAAATTCAGAAAAGCTTATGGAAATCAAGCGCCGCTAGTTCGGTTACATGAAAAGAAAGCCCACCGAGAAAGTTGGAAATATTACCCAAGCAATGTTACTGCTAGGGAAGAAAAGAAGGAGAAGACCGATGAAAAAATTACGTCATGTCCTCAAGAACAATGTGAAAATGCAAGGAGTCGCTGAAAATATAACGAGCGACAGAAGAATGTGGAGGAAATTGAGTCGATTAGCAGACCCCTGTTAAAGAGAACATGCTAGGGAAAAGAATAATGTAAAAATTGCACAAAATCAGAAGATACCGCACAGGATGATATATCATACCGTGCAACTACTCAGCCGATGATGACAACGAATGATGAGTCAGTGCCAGTATCGAAACGGCTAGAAGCCAACTGATACTGATTTTTTAGGTAACACTGGCAATGAAACGAGACAGTAATGCATACATGCATGATGCTGCAATCATCATATATGAAGAGGACATCAGCAAAGTTCTTTTCGAGTGTTGGCTCGCTATTTGTGACGTCAGTGGTTCATTTCCTGTTGATGCGGTACAAAGCAGAAACCAGTTAGAAAAGCCGAGTTATCCATTGATCATGTTTGTGTGGGATAATGCAATATCCCTGAATCGTTTGCGTTGGCCGAAAGCCTCCGGTTATTTATATCAGCTAATAATATTAAGCTTAATAATACTCTTGCTGTAATGCACCTGCCACTCCATCTTAGAAATAACTTAACCTCTATCAAGATAGATTTACTTTTTTTATGCGCATGCTGCTTGCTCGACTAATTTCGATTCAATCCATTCATAAGAAGCTCGAGGACTCGAATGAATTGTTCATTCAGTACAGGCTGCTTAACAATACCATATTTTACTTCGAATCTCCACATCTGCTGAGATCACCTGTGTCCGGAACATAATGAAAACAGTCCATACGTGGTCATGCCATTTAATCCTCACTATACGTCAAAGCCAAATCTGCCATGCAGAGTTCAAACGTTGTTGTTACTCCTTCGCAAAAGCAACTATTTCCATGCCTGCAACAGCACTGACCTGAACGAAATGAGGTACAGGCAGATTTATTTTGGAAAGGGTTTGTCACTTCTCAGCTTAAACACCGGACAGGTTCTCAAGAGCACTTTGTGCTAGAGCGATCCTCGTTTTTAATCCCGCAACAGACGGGTTCGTCATAACTTCTGACTTACAGACTCTAATGAAGAGACCAGCTTCCAAAGCCTGTGTCGTGTGCTGGCGTCTCTTTCCGGCACTATTCACCAAGACAGTATCCGCTACTTGCTTCAAATCAGCGTTATATCTGACCAAATATCTTGAACTCCTCCTTTCTATAGGAAGAGACCTTCGTGTGAGAGTCAGCACTGTTTCAGAGGAGAAATTGAGAACAGTATTGAATAGAAATGGTCAAGTCACATTTCAGACTTCGTCCATTGCACGTGACTTTCTTATATGCCCTGAACAGTAGTGCTGCTTTTGTAACTCTGTAAAAGAGTTAATCGAATCATTAATTTCACTTAATTGCTGTCATCTCCGGACACCGTCATTTCGCTACTTTCATGTCCGTTAATGGGCGGAAGATCTATTTATTCATCTGTACTGAGATTTCAATAAGTAATTTCTATGACTGAGTTTCGAGTTCAAATGTTCAAATTGATTCATTCTGATCTGCAATGAATTGATCGAACAGCGCCACTATTCAGGCACAAATAATCAGTCAGTGACTTTCGAACAACCTTCGACCAACACGCTTCTCTAAAACGAATATGACAGTCCTTGTCATACTCAAGCACGTGCTGCCCATTTGCATGCGCTTCGAATTGACGTCTTCTGATCTTCTACTGTTCATCGCAAGTAGAAACCCAATTCGTCTATTAAACGAAACCAAATTAATTCGCTAAATATGAATGATATGAAACTGCAGTTTTCGAGAGACCACAGGCTGTTGCCTCTGTGTTAACAAAAAATTCTCATGAACTATCAACGATGAGCATTCATTCACAGATTTACGATCGTCCATGATTGAGCCGAGTGACGAAGACCAGCGGCGCGTAAGGCCACTTGTTCTTCGACAGGATCAAAGAACGGCCAGGCGAAAAAAGACCGGCTGATGGCCCAAAACGATCGCGTCATCTGCATGATCGCCATCTGTGTTGGTCCTGCGGACAGCTGGGTGGATGGAGCGCAACGTACGTCACCTGTTCAGGTCTCCTATCACCAGCACCGTTCTTGTTTTGGCTTCTGAAAGGGCTCTGGTAGAGGTGGATACCCGCGTGATCTGGCGGCTTGGCCGGGTCAGCGGCAAACAGACGGTCAGAGTTTGTTAATTGACTGGCGAACCGCACAGCGTATGATGACGATGATGCATCGCCATCGAGTCCAGTAGCCGTCTGGGCTGAGCCTCTGTATTTCAGGCTGCTCCGGCGCGCCCCCTCCGTACTTTCTGCGGTCGTCGTGCTCCGCCGCTTCGGCGAACTCAGCCACGGCGTCCGACATCGATGTCCACTGGTCGTTGCAAGGCCGTAGCTTCAGCACCGTCATGTTGAGTCGACCCCCCTCTGCGACCATCAACTCGTTGTCCGGCATGTTGCTGGTGCCGTTTCTGAAAACAGATCGTTTCCGGGACAGGTAAAAGATAGCTCAGCTTAGAGTGTCATTACGAAGCCAAATCCGTTGGCACAAGACATGTATGACTGCAACGACGATCACCGTGGTCTTGTGAAGTGCTTGGTTTCACCAACGGCCTACCTACCTGCATTGGTGTTCTCGAATATCCCGAAGTGAAAACACTCGCATTAATAGAAATAAGTCGTGTCCTACTTCAGTACTCTATACATGAGTTAGGAAAATCAAACTGCAGCATTAGCAGAGCTATCGCGGGAACGTGTGATCCTAAGGCTAAACCCTTTGTCCAGACAGATGAAATCAAACTGTCATACCCAGCGATTAATGATTTAAACAAGTGGCAGCCAGAGTAGGACGCTGAGCATTTAGTGTAACCCAAGTTCGTAATCGGAATCACTGAAATTTTAAAATGCTGCAACAGACTGTCAGAGGTTAACCGCGTTAAAGCCATCGGTATGTATACTCATGGCCTGCTTAGTGCAGTTGTGGAAACATCGTAGCCCGCTATTATCTTGTCTTCTTACTGGTTTGTAGTAACCTTGCCATCTGTGGTTATGCAAATGTGCCCAGTGGTCAGCATCGAGAGTGACCATTGTTTGTCTAAAGTCGGAATAGGCTCTTTCTAAATCAGTGGTTCTCTGCTAGTGGAAGATTGATCGCGATTCATGGTTCTATGGTTGTTGAGGCGTCGCCCTATTGTACCTAACAGGGTTTAAACAAGATTACTATATCTGATCGTTACAGCTGGTGCTTCAGATTGATATTAGGCAAAATTCACGGCTGGACAAAGGCGTTCTTCCTCGTCGCAAACAACTCATATGTTTCCAAGTTTTGTTTTCTAGCGCGTCTGAAGTAAGCTCCAGATTTTCAATCGAGAAAGGTTTTAAAAATATTTATATTCAGGCAATTTTGTCAAACCGACCTAGAAATTTATCTCTGAGTTCGTCTAAATGTTTCTCTACCATTTCTTGAAGCATTCGCCGGGCTTCCGTGAGATCTCCTGGTATTATTGCATGTTGAGGACATATCGTAGACAGCGCTGTTAGAAACTATTAAGATGAGTTTCATCTTGCATTTTCAGGACAGCACATGTCTCGAGATTGCAATGATCACTGTGAATGCGACTCTTTTCAAGATGATCATCATTGTGTTAGCTCCCATAGTTCGATATTTGATGTCAGTAGCCTATATACAGCCTCTTAATGGCCTGACACAGGTTAATAAACGTAGTACGTCTTCCAGGTCTTTCCTGTAACATGATGACCATCTACCATAGCAGATTCATCGACATTTCGAAGAAGAAGAAAAAGACGGGTCACATTCAGATATATGTAATGGTGATACGTTTTTTGCATAGGTCGCAGTGACCGTACATCGAGGAAACTCGCCTTTACCTCTGAAGCTGCGTTCTCACCTGACATGAGAATAAATACCAAGGTAGGTTTCAGGAGATTTAGTTCTTCATAACTGCCTAGTACTACAGATTCGGGCTACCTTCTACCAAAGCTCAAACGTTGAGGAAGGATTAAGAACGTTTGAGGAAGCGTCAAACGCAGCGTTTCTGCGTCTCGAAGGCATTGGCAGTCATCGAGACTGACTACTTAAGAATAACAGTCGATGAAACATTCCTTCAGTTAAGGAATTAAGTGCTTGGGAAGAAACACATCGATCGTTTATTACAACATTTCCATCTTTGCTCTACGTGTAGCCTCCTAACCAGGAATCGAAAGCGAAGTCTGTTGCTGAATTAAGATTCGAAAGGACTCTTTCACAAAAATTCTTATATTGTTGTACTACTATTCTTAAAATATACTATATATGAAAACTAGTGGGTAATGCACGGTCCTTGAGGGGTGCCGAGAGATGCTCAGAAACTTGTTGAGCAACCGAATGAAGTTAAAATCAAGTGCCCCAACACTATGTCATAAGTGCGTGCAACCGATATGGATAATAAGGGATATGGATAGTGATATGGATAATACCGATATGGATAATAACTAGTAGCATAAGCAGTAGAATAATTCAGACACTCTTTGAAATATCCAAAGATCCTGGTAGTGGCACTCTGGTAATACTCTTTTACACTTTCGCAGAGCGGATTCAAACATCTCGTTTTTTACCATTGCTGCATTGCGCTTTCGACCTCGTACATTAAATGAATAACATGATTTACACTAAAGGTCCAGAATAATTGAAAACTACCTAATTATCATTTATTGTCGTATACCAAAGAACAGGTCACTGTCATTGTTATCAAGGGATAACGAGTACTGAAGACGAGAATCGCTCAGATTGATGATATATTTTTGTAATTGTTTCAAGATGTGTTGCGTATTTGCAGCTACATCTCATCGCTTAAAACCCAGATATTATTGTAACTTGGGTAGCACTACGTCGGCTAGGCTGCTTTGCCTTTAAGAGGAGACTTAGATACTTATTACTACTATTATATAAAATACTCATTTTTTTTATAACTTGTGACATCGATAAGCATAAAATTCAACAAATAAAGTCGTTCCTTCGAAACGAAGTCTACTTTAACAATATTTGATCGGTAGGATGTCTAAACTACAGTACATCCGTCTTGATTAACAGGATCAATACTACCGTACCGATTTGTCTATAACTAGTCCTTCGTGTCGAAGATTGACCGTGCTAAGCAAACTTCTCGTTAATAGAAACAAATGTGGCAGGTGACCTTTACATTTTCCACCAGATCAGTACTTACAAATCGCATATCGTTATATATTTGACAGAGTCGCATGAGCATAATAATAATAAACTCTATCTCGGTTTCGGTGGCTGAAATTTATATAATACTAGGTGCTACTTAGATAAGAAACACTTTGAGGTTAATTTTCAAGGTTTACGATCTTCAGGCTTTCTTATACATATTGCATTGTTTCTATTCGCATGCCTTAGTTGCGGACACTGGCAAAAAGAAATATGTTCAGCAGTTGCACTTCTGCGGTTCCGTTTAACGTTCAGATGCAGTGTAAAAATTTTCCTAATTCATAGTAATTCGCATGAATTCGCGTGACTAATCTTCAACGCCACCAAAAAATACATGGCCAATGATTAACCACAAGCAATGAAGATAGCATGGTGTTTTGGTGTAGTCATGACAGAGCATGACACGCGTTCAGTTATGCCATCTGATATGTGCACTTTATGCATACAAATTCCTTCTACGAACTAGGCAGCGAACTAAATCAGCAAACACTGTTGCTGCTAATGAAAAATTGTAAGTTATTATTTGATTGTCCCTCTAATTTGTCAATGAATAGTTATTTCCCATTCACGAAGTAGATGACCATATGAAAGAATTTCTCGACGATTTCAACTAAATTACAACGGGCGTTTGCTTCCTGTAATCAATGTCACTTCCATGAACAGAAGTGGTTAAAGATTTATAATCATTCTAGAAACCTTGATGACAAAAGCTTCCTCTACTGACAGTAACAATGTTTATCACAATTTTCCATGACTGCGCAGCGGCTCTCTATCCTACGTCATTCTTCCTCTCGATCGCGCATTTTCTTTGTCATCCGCAATCTACGACAAGATTTTTCTTTCAAAATAAGAGGAAATCCATGAATAATAATACAATAGCTTTTTTTGGCTACTATATATACAACGGAAAGAAAATAATTGCTCACATTCCCCGGACACGAAATACTTGATTTTAGCATATACCTTATCTTAACAGAACGGGCACGAAGTTACATTTATAATATTTCACTTGGATGATTCTTCATTTGAAATTGGCACTTTTCTCGTCAGGATGCCTAAACAGTAGTACTTTAATTGATCGTAAGTTACAACTCGTTTTCGTACAAAATAGAAATAATTTTTAAACCTGCTATTCTCAGAAAACGAGACCCTAAAAACCACCCTCGTTTTAGTTCACCGAATCCGTACCGAAAGAAAATATTTAGACTGAGAACCCGCTTTCTATAATCAACAATTTGGTGAAGTGCGCTACCGCACTTTCATGGGCTAATAAACAATGC